GTGTTGGTCATAAAACATGTCACTGTAGCACTGTATTTAACTCACCTTCAATTAGTTCTAAATCACTGCTCTGATAATTTATTTTCTTCTGCATTCACTCGCTGGGGTTTAAATACATTTAAATTCCATACAATATCTGGAAAATCACGGAGAAATTTATATATTTGATCATGATTTAGAAGCAAAAATTTGACTTACCTTTTGTTTAAAAGTGCTGAAGAAATAAATAAAGACACCAAAAGCACTTTGTTGCCGCTGCGTATAATTATTTATTTGATAAAATTTCAATAAAGAAACGTTAAATTTTAAGCGAATTTGCGTAAAAATATGTTTCTCCGTTCGACCTGGGGGAGTGTAAAAATCCACCCGCTCATGAGTATTAATGAATGGGGGGGGGGCTCTTTTTCAGTGACGGATGTAACACTGTGCTGCGTATGTTCATTTTTGACCGTCACGTTCTGTAAAGAAACGTCATATTTGAAGCGATTTTGCGAAAAAAATATATCTTTCCGCTCGACATTCTTCCGCGTGAGTATTTGATTATTAATGACGGGAGGGGGTGTGGCATGTGGAGTGACGTCACGCGTTACACATATTTTTGGGCTAATTATAGTTGTAATATCTGTGGTTGTTTTACCCACTATTCTACTGATTTGACTCTATTGGAATAGAATAAAATGTACGCTCTGGTGTTTCAATGCACGTTCATGAGGCGCAATTAAGAGTAAGTGGAACATAATTCTACTGCAAATACTTAAAGTTTATTTGGAGAACCGAACTATACATTTCGGAAAATTGTAATGTGCCTGAATTAACATTACACTTCAACTTTTGAGGGGGTTTAATGTTGTACTTACAAATGTGCACTGCTATATTCATTGCAATAATCAGTGATCCATAAGTAGCTTGTGTAAATCCTAATGCCTTTAGGGCAATGCAATTATCATCTGAACACATCACGGGGAGAAGAATGAAAACCATGCCCTGAGACAAATTCCAAGGAAACGTTTGAGGTTCGTTAATATATTACAGCCGTCATATTTGAAATTGTGAAGAGTTTACAATGAAAATATAAAATGTCGCTGAATTTACTTGTAGAGATAATAACTCAGCACACATTTTTTTTTTACTTTGCCAATCCTTATGAAACTCTGTTTGCCTTAATGACATAAAAAACACAACAATTATGTGTAATCAACAAGGACAAAAGTAATTAAGATTAGCTTCATTAATATACACTAAATATAATTATTGTAGTAATTGTCATATTAAATAGTTTTCTTTTTTCTTTTTACAAAGTCACATTTACACAAAGCTTACTGTTTCCCAACGACATCAGTACCCAATTCAATGTGTAAAGTATGTCAATGATTGCATACCTTTCCATAAAAACAAATGCCTGTTGTATTTTCTGAAACAATTTAAACATCACACGATGTATCATCACAAACAGGTTTGTTGTTTTTGCAAATATGACTTGCACCATGTAACACATTCTACATAAAAAAAAAAAATATGACTCCTAGTTGAGTTCCATTTGATGAGTTATTGGTGCTATCAGTTTAAACTGTCGAGATTATTCTATTATATGAACCCACAGACAAGGTATGTGAAGAATACCTTATCAAAAGATATTTTTTTAAATCAAAGTCACGTGGAATTCCCTTCTTAATTCCTTGCTCTCAGCAGATTACTCTGCTACTCTGCTTCCGTTTGCAGTATTTAAGAGTAAAATGCTAATTAACTTGATTTTTAAAACAAGTACACGCATACATGTACCTGAGATTATTTGTTCTAAGTTAGGCAACAATTGTTATTTTTGCACGTTTCAGACTTGTGCGGACATATCAGTTTGATGCAATAAATTGTCCCTAAGCCTCTCCACTAGCCAGAACATAGTGTGTACGTATACTGGATCGTTAAATGATAAATGTATGATAATTGTTTCATTGTAGAGCATTCTACGTTGAATAACAGTACATTTATTTTGTGCTGAGATTGGTTACAAAAAGCTTTGTAATTTAGAAGACTAAGGAAGCAAGCAAGAAGCCAATGATTAAGAGAGACAGAGACATAGAGTACAATTAATATTCAACTTTTCTGAGATTGATATCTGTCCACAATCTGCCTTTGCTTTCGAACATCTTGTATTTTTTAAAACATCGTTTCAACCAATGCAAAATGCGTTGTTGCTGTTCAAATTTTTTTTTAACCTAATTGAGCGTGAACAAAAATGGCTCAAACTCTCGCTGAGCAAAATAGCAGCTTCAAAACCATATCATCAGCTCATGCGTAAGGGGCTGTCTGCAACAGTTGTATTGTAGGACTGTAGCCAACATCGGGACGTGTATGAAATAATTTTGGTGCAGAAACATTGCGGAAATAATTGTCAGGGTTCCCCTTGTACAAGGTCAACCTTTTTTGGATTGATGTAAGGATTAAGAGAAAGGAGATGTCTAGCACGCCTCATGCATTTCGCTTTAACGACGACAAAATGTGAGCGCTGTATAATTCACGTTTTCATAAGAGTTGATTTGTTTTATTATGAGAGATTATTTGTTTCGCACAGGGATTTGTAAACAGCACAGGGGAGCCCCCCAACAGCCTGCTTATAGCTCATAGAATGTGCTATTTATGGTGTGTCTAGATTGTGTATGAAGCAACAGAACTAGCAGTGACAATGCTCTACGAAGTAATAAGTGATTTTTTAGTTTTTGACAGTAGCAACATCACTCAATGATCTACCAGATGTATAAAACCTACATGGAGAATATGCATTACTTTGGATGCAATTAACGTGGGAGTGAACTTCTCATCTTAAAGTGTGTGCTTTAAGATAATTTCTGAGCAATGATTTTCGAAAGCAGATGGCCTTGAAACTTTGTTTTATTTTCTTCATAATCTATATCAATTGGTCGCAAACTAGCACTGAACATCAATTGTAATTGCATAAAATGACTGTGCAAAAGGGAATCTATTTTTTTGGGGGGGGGGGAGGGGGATTGTGGGTGGATATCACATAGCCATTGTACACAAAACACTGATAGGGACCATGGAATGGTTAACTCGCAGCGATTAATATAAAATATGGACAATTAAAACGCTCATCATGTTTCATAAATCACTGTCCCACACCGTGGCAGACGGGCTCCATGCTGTCATGCAATGGACCAGGATGCGCCAATGTGAAGCATAAGTGTCGCTCGCTTAGTCTAATTTATGTCTGCCATTCTAATGAGCTTGTTTTATCGTTAGTCAGCACTGCATGCAATGTTTCAGATGATGTGAAACGTATTTAGTTCGTACATGTTTGTCAGAATACTTGTCAAATGTCTTAATATTTCCAACAATATACACCATATTTATATGCGCATCTATATGAGTATGCACTGTGTTTGTCTTGCTTTTACATTTCCATGATTTATCTTAGAATACTTTAATGTGAAAACATCAGGCAAAACATTTTTATAATAAATTGGCACAAAGTAACTTTAAAAGGAATTGCTATCCTTGAAGGTGGCTTTTAATCCAAAAGAGTAATTTAAAATGAAAGCAGAAAGGAACAAACATTTAAATCATAAAACACAATGCAATTTATTTTGCTATTTTCATTCCATTTTATTCTGATTGGGCAATCGGCATCAAGTCATGGGAAAAATAATAATATTTTCAAAACTGTTGCAAAACAGTGTCACAGAACTTACTACAGAAGGAATTTTGCCATTAAACTTGTAAAAAGAAAATCCTTGAGGTAACCAAGTGGCTATTGTATCGTGTACAAAGTAAGAGCCAATTTCCCAAAAAAATATCCCATGGGATTTTTGGGATTAATTGTATGAATTCTCATAATTGGAACTGAGTAAAATGACACTTAGAATTGCATGTAGTATGATTTTTTTGTGTGTGCAGTCATTGACCATCTATTTACTTCCCTGAGAATATAGTTTTAATCTTAAGCAGTGGCCTGGATTGAACCCAGGATTTAAAGTTGTGCCAGCTAAGCATTATAACCTCTTCGTGTATTTTGAGCCACTCTGCATATGCCAATGATCCAATGACATTATTAGTCATCAGTATATATTGCAAAATATAACTGAGTTTGTTGAGAACACAAACGTTAGAATCTTGGTCATAATATCTCAGTAACCAATACCAGATTGCACTAGCAGAACAGGTATAAGTCTGCACTAAGAATATGGTTTTAATCATTTATGGTGTGATGTAAAAAATGGTTATAAGATTGACCATTTTAAGTGCATTTATTTGATCACAATATAGTTGGTATACTGTGAGGCTTTTTATGCTGTGTAGTTTAAACAATAGGGCAATAATTTAGCTTGCATAAGCAAACCAAGTACTTAAGCCTGCATGAGATATATTGTTTTATATTTTTATTATTTTATTGTTTCCCTTCTACGTGACTTTGCCGAAAGAACCAATAATATGTAATGCCTAATTGAAGATAAAGACTTTCAATTGATGGCAATACTCATACAATACGCTGTTCTGAAGATGACAACGTTTGTCCACCTCCTTTCAATTTGCACACTGTTATGGATGTTTTATCGGACATCATTTCTGTAGTTGTATGTGTAGTTCATACAGAACATGTCTTAAATTTAGATTTAAAGCTTTCGTGACTGCAATAATTCATATTCTTAGCTCTTTCGGTAAAGTCACGTTGAAGGGAAACAATAAAATAATAAAATATATATGATGACCGTTTGTGTTATGGTCGAAACGTCGTGAGAATTTTTATTGCTTTATATATATTATTATTTTATTGTTTCCCTCCAACGTGACTTTACCGAAAGAGCTAGGAATAAGAACATGTCTTTGTTTCCTGGCTGGGTACATCCGGTCCAATACAACAAAACCACATTTCTGTCCAATTAAACTTATCATGGGCTTCTTCACAAAGCAACGTCCGATGTGTCGATTTTCACTCAGATTGTAAAGCGCCCCCAAATTCTCTGTTATTTCGTTGTGTCGTTACACAGCTGGGCTTGGAGCGACCCCGTGGCATGGGTGAGCCGTGCTCAGTGGAGTGCTCCCTCAACTGCCAACTCTCCGAGTGGTCCGCCTGGACCTCCTGCTCCCACACCTGTGGCCTCAATGGTGCGCGTGGGAACGCTCATTCTCCACGGCACCGTCTCATTAAACAAAAAAACACACACACACACGCAAAACCCGCACGGAAAAAATGTCCTTCGCGAGTCTCGTGACGCGAAGCCCTGCGTTTCAGCACCGCTCTTGTTGTATGCCATTAATAAGAATGTCCTGTTCATTCAAATGTATGGCGAATTTGGAAAAATGTCACAACTTAAAAAAAAAATGCAATTCTCATTCGGTGACAAGATGGAGCGTCTTAATATGTTTTTTTTTGTGTTTGTGTTTTCGTGAGCTTGTAATAACCGTGGGTAATTATGTTGAGGTAAAAGCATATATGGGCTTTTCAACAAAAGGAAAAAAACGCGGGTGTGCATGAATAATTAATTCTGCGTAATGGCATATATAAAATGAAGGGTGGGTTGTTGCTCATTGAGAGAGTAACATGGGATATGTAATAATTCCGTAATTTGCTTGATGTATTTATTTGTAAGTGCCTTAACACATTTGTTTGCAAAGACACACTGTACTCTTTGCTCGTTGCACTATGTTTTGCTAAAATATGTTATCTGGTTTATTGGTCATATTTTAAAGCATGTTAAGTAATATAACACTAAATGAAATAAGTAAATGGAAATATATCACATTAATATGCATCTCACAGTAAAACGTAGCTAATTGTGGCTTGTGGCACATACTCTATGCAAATCACGTTGTCTAGCTATGAAACACAAATGTCAATGGCATTGGTCAAACATCCCAGTGCTGAAATCTACCCGCACATCACCCAATTGGGATCACACGCAGCAACAACAGCACACCCTACTACTGCGAACATTTTGACTTGTGTGGGGATACAGGTTGGACGATCAGGAGTCGAAGGGTTCTGCAGGAACCACGTGGTGAGGGCAGATCTTGCCCTCTTCAGATGGAGCAGAACAAGCCCTGTGCGGTCACACCCTGCTACCGCTGGCAGCTTGGAGAGTGGTCTGAATGCAAAGTGGAGGTAACACGCGCACACACATATATAAAACGTGTCGCTCATGACCTGTCAAAAGGTTACGTGAAAGGTTACGTAAAAACGACGAATTTCCTTTGGAGACAATGGTAAAGGTTATAAGGTGTATTATATTTGGTATATAATGGAACAAATATTATTGACAGTATTCGGAATTTATTTGTATAAATGCTTCCTCAGTTATTATTGCAACGCTTTCATTTGTTTGTGTTCAGTCCCAATGCAGTTGTTAACAGAGCAATGTGTTTGCATTATCAGATGAGCAAATTTACTACTATAATGAGCCAAGAATGTCTTGTGTGTCCCGTGCGTGACGTCACTCCACATCGAACAGCCCCCCTCATTAATAATCATGAATAGGTGACGTCCTCCAAATGGACACCCCACCATTAATAATAATTAGCGAGTGACGTCACTCCACATGGGGGGGCGAGGCGCCTCCCCCCCCCTCCTCGGCGTCAACTCACAACCCTCACTACAAAGGCAGAACCCTCACGTCACGTGATCTCCGTAACGCTGTTGTTGAGACATAGAAGTAAAAAGGACGTCATGACGAACAAGGGATTATAACCTTTAAATGAAATAAGTCTGTGTTACCACGCCCTTACAAACTGCACACGAATTGATGCAATGAATATCACGTCGCGGTCTGATTTTCGGTTGCAAGTTTCAGATTTACTGCAATACACCCGTCCTTGGATGGGCAAAAGACTAGTTTGTAAAAATGTTTATTAAGAATTGTATAAATTCTATCGTCAATAAAAAAAAACTAAATTAAAGCCCTTGGTCAATGCACTTTTTGATAAAAAGCCTTCCCATTCTGTCGGTTATGGGGGTTGTTTGACCATACTTCACCACACTGGTGATTGTAAGTTGGTGAATGGTACCAGTGCACTTGACAAATCAAATTTGATAAAGCTGGATTATTGGGTCAGTTGTGTTGAGACCTTAGGTTCGATGTCAATGTTACAGCTGGGATAAAGTAGGTTATTGTGTGCCCTTTGCAGAATTGCCATTGCATGCATCGCATTTGTAATCATTTATGTGGATCCCAATTCTATGTTAAAAGTATACAGCATATTCATCATCTGATGATTGCAAGCAAACCACTCGTCTGCACAATCCTTGTGGCTGTAAGCACTGCTTATTGGAGAGTCACCAGTTCTGCAGCATCTCGCTGATTTGGTTTGTGTAAATTTGCTGTATTGTATGAGTATTGCCATTTGTGTAAAGTTGCTATCTGTAGGCAGTGCCTTGAAGGACTATTCGCTGAGTGCCTTTATGTCAATTGTACAGTCGGAATACAATTGTCTAGTGTGTGGAGAGAAATTTGTTCCAAATGTAATCAGATTTGAAAAAAATATATATTTAATTTATGTTATGTGTTCATATATTCTTACGTGAAGAGCTTTAGTTTAGCGATGTTCACATATTGTACGTTGGTAAATTTCCAAAATACAATAATTTTACGTATAGGGTTTGCGCATAAGTGACACCAATGTACTTTTTATTTAAAATTGTGTATCTAAATCACGACCAGCATTCACACTGAAATGGTAATAATTTAACCATCAGTAATGCAAACGCCCAGTGGAATAATACCCCGTGAGCACTAACGTTGTTCAATTTTGATTGGCCTCTGAGTCATGCTCTGGTTAATTACATTTTTCGCTGTTTGTCAGTCGTTTGTATGAGCGTCTCGGTCACAGCGACCTTACATCAATTTCCTCCGCCGTAGACACTCACAGCGGCGGACTTTAATTGTATCCGAATGCGTTCTCACAAAGGATAAAATTAACCGCCTCCGGTCTGACTAATTAGTTTGTGGTGAATACTGAGGCAGGCTAATGCTTAAGTGAGATCCATTTGAGGTCCGAGACGAAGGTGTTACTGACAGAAGGCATTTTATCTTGCCAGAAAGAAGCCTCTTGAAAGGGCATTGTTCCAGCAGATTTTTTTACAAAATGCAACTTTCGTTACGCCACAAATGTTGGTTAATATGTTAACTTTGGGGAAAGGTTTATTTTTTTTAACGGTGAAACATGAAACATATTTCGAAAACAAATATTCTCAAAATGTAATATCATCTGCAATTGTTTTGTCATGATATCAACACTACCATTAGTTTCCAAGTGTTTCTTTGTTTACGTACTTACATTGTTGTTCTTATCTCGTGTGTTTTGCAATGATATTATTAGCCTGCAAGGAATGCACGATCATATTTTTCCACTGCTCAAGGGTGAAAAAAATGGAGCAGTGTCCATTGTCAACAAAAATTAGATAATGTATACAAAAACATGTTACATCAACTTTTGATTTAAAGCTTTCGTGACTGCAGGGATTCATATTCTTGTTTTTTTTCGGTAAAGTCACGTAGAAGGGAAACAATAAAATATAAAAAATATAAAACAATACAATTCTCACGACGTTTCGACTGCAACACAAGCAATCTTCATCAGGTGTGAAAACCACAAAGGAGTTTACCTATCAAAGCAGGAGAATTTAGTACATTTATTATATTGATGTAATATAGATTTATTTTTTTCACGTAGGTTTACTTTATGGTAGTTGGTAGTTGGAGGCCTTTAGCGTCCATATACTAAATGCCTCTGTTGATATGTAAACGTTGACTTTAACACAGCTATTTCTGTCACAAGCTAATGCCTCAGCTATTTCAATGCTAAATTTTCCTGCTTTGATAGGTAAACTTATTTGTCAAGGCTCTTCACGCCTCTCACCGAGCTTAAAAGACGCTACGAATCTTAACAGCGTTCATTCAAGCTCTGTCCTCCCGACAGTTCTGTTCTTACACCTGAAGAAGGCTACTTGTGTTGTGGCCGAAACGTCGTGAGAATTTTATTGTCTTATTTTATTTTATTATTTTATTCTCATTCTACGTGACTTTACCGAAAGAACCAAAGAAGATGACACCTGCAATAACCTGTGAAACCCTAAATTAGTATGGTGGCGTTATTGTTCTAACCTCATGGTTATATCTTGATACCATGCTGGCTTCCTCATTTATCAATTTACGCTGTTTAAAAGAGTAACTCTTGGGATTCTTCAAGTTGAGTCGGTCTTTAACAAGTGCAGGGTTGGGGTTCTGAATATGACAGTTCTTATTAAACTGTCATAATCACACTTATGTATTGTCCTCGGCAAAGTTTCGCACTCGGCTTGTGCACATCCAAATGGAGAGTTATATTGTCAAACCGCAGAAAATCGGTAGAGTCGTGGTCGTTAGATTCACTCGTTCGATGAAAACGAAGGAAATCTTACCCTGTTGACAGTGATCAGTGTGGTGTGCTAATGAGGGGAAATGTTTCGCTTAGATAACATGGGGATTTGTTGATAACCTCAGCATTGTGGGTAAAATCGTGCTTTGGAACAATTTCATATTTAGTATCCCTGCCTTGCCAAATCTCAAGTGCATTATTTCCCCTGCAGGGAATTAATGTATCTGTAAAAGAGATTAATATATCTCAGTCCATCTCCATTATAATTTGTTAAAATTTACTATCCAATGCGTAGACCACATCAACATGCCTTTGAAAGATGTTAGGTGGTAATAAACTCTTATTATGTTATTTACAATATAAATGTATTCATGAACTGTAAAATAAATTCCCACTGTGCTCTGCTTTTACCAAATTAATAATGTGTATAAATCTACATATAGGTTGCTTTTATTGTCAATATATCACAGAAAGTGGTTTAATAAAAGCCATAATATTATGGTTGACATGTACGGCAAAAGCTTTCATATCTATGTTTACAACTACAATTCAAATTAAGTGACTAAATAAGGTAACATAGTTCGGTGTAATAATTATTTTTGTGCCGTGTTATCAAAAAGTCTAAATGTGTTGCGTACGACTTCAACGCAAAATATCACTTACGGGCAATGATCTGGTCTCAAACGTGAAATACTTCGTTTTAACTTGGTCATTGTTGTCATTAATGTGGGAGGGGTTGAATAATGATTAATTGTGTTTTATTGAACAGTGTTCAAAGATCCCCACATGCTGAAGGTGAAAAGGCAGGCAACAGAAACAGAAACATTTTTGGTAGAAACACAACGACACTTCTTGTGTGCCCCTTGGACTGTTCGGCTTGACTTCCCACCATGCAAATGTCAAGGCACGATAATGAGCTGTAAGAGGTTTCTGGCTCTATTTACTATAATGAGGCCATACATTTCCAAGGTTCAGCAATCAATCCTAGACTCTGTCTATCTACCACTCTCCCACTGAGTCACCATCCATAGTGAGTAAATATTAAAAAAAACATAAACAAATACGCATATATATTCTTGGTTCTTTCGGTAAAGGGAAACAATAAAAAATGTTTTATATTTTTATTATTAAAATAAAATATGGTTTTATATTTTTATTATTTTATTCTTTCCCTTCTACGTGACTTTACCGAAAGAACCAAGACTATGAATCCCTGCAGTCACGAAAGCTTTAAATCAAAACTACGCATATATACCAACGTTTCAGAATGCTTTATGATATTAAAAAGCCCGGCCCCAGTGTGTATATTAATTCGACTCACATTTGTGTTTTGAGAATAGAACGTGATGCGATATTGTTGAACTTTTGGTGGCCACCCTTCATAAAAAAAATAGATAGGAATAGATATTACCAATGCAGTGTCATGGTGTATGTTAGTGCTTTACTCACACTTCACGCAAAACTCAATTTTCCTCTAAACAGCACGGCTTGCTCTTAGCGGAGGGGTATTTTTTTGTATTCCCTGAGAAAGAGCATTCGCGGAATCTGGATAATTGTGTTGTAGTTGTGGGTAAACAATGTATTCCACTGCAGCTAAAAGCGTGTGAAGAGCTACAACGCCTTTGTCTATTATGCAAAAACCGTCAGCGGTTGCTGAAGGAGTGCAGTGTGGTTCTCTTGTCTCACCATAAAAATGAATGAGAGAAAATGAGACCTACTGACAGGCAGCAGTGACATTAATGCATTTTACATCCTGTGCTATTCCTCTGTGATGATCGCGTTTTCTCGTCCTTTACAGATTTGATTGAGCTTAAAAAAAACACGCCATGCAATGAGATTAATGCTCCAAATGGTACAGATAAATGTGCTTTCAGCACATATGATTATGAACGTGAATCCGCAAATTAATTATTTACAGTATTTGAATAATACACAGCAGATATCAGTGCTGCATATTATTAATTTGTATGCACGATCATATTTTATCCAAACACATTTGCAAACCAAGGATTGACTATGCGTGCACATACATAACCCCTCCACCACCCGTGGCCCGATATGCACCGTATATCTATGTCTATTGTGATTCAGCTCATCTTAACACTCATCAGCATTTACCATGCCCGCCAAGCATTCTCTGTAATTGAGGATATTCACGTGTACAAAACATACCTGTGCGCACTGCACATTGACTCAAAATTTGACTCAAAATGTTAAAGGTGGATTTGCCATATACAGCCTAAACATTTACAACTTGAGTCACTTTAACTCAGTCCACTCACAGCTTTGGAAATCAGCATGCCGCTTGCTGGGCCACACTAAACACTGCTGTGCGTGCGCGTGACAGAATGTGCTCACTTCAGCTGAGTGAAAACGAGGCTCTGTAGTAGAGGGAGAGTGAAGATTGAAAAGTGTGCCGCCCTTGAGAGGAGACAGCTTGATGCCTTATCTGCGTTCAACTCTTAATCACCCTACGACATTGCCGCCAAGGTCACAGTGTGCCAAATTAACCACTTGTTAAAAGTAATTTTAACCCAAAGGTACTCTTCAAATCGTTAAATTGCTGAAAAAGTGTACAAGATTCTAAAAGGTGAATAAATAATTAGATCAATGTATCGGTAGGCGAACGGTCAGGGAGATATTTATGAGGCAAGAGACACACAGACACTAGTTACTAGGGGTGTCCAATACCATTCTCCCATGTCTCCCTCCTGCCCCTATCCCAGTCATCATCCGTTCTCCTAATGCATCAGCCCACCGTGTACGGTATTTAGAGATTCTATAAAATTTGAATACAATAAAACATTGCATTGTATTGCAAATGTATCTATCACTCACATTGATCTATGTGTATACGTTTCTGTTTAAGATATACAATCTCATCACTCTCACTCTTACCCATTGACATTAATTAAACATACCTGCATACCGTAGAGATGGAGCAGTGGTGCAGTGCTTAATGCATTGCCCCCTGAACCCAGCAGCCTGAGTTTGACACCTGGTCACAGTTTACATCAGTGGCGAGCGATATCTGAACCAGACCTGGGAATGCCATCTTCACCAATCCGCACTGACCAGAATTGAACTCCCATAAACAACACTGAATGGGGAGGTCTTCTTCCAGCCATGGATTGATACACAGCTGTATTTTGTTTTATTGACCATAAGATTGATAACCTTCTCAATGGGTATTTTCAAGCGTTTGCTCTTCTGATAATGCAAGCACGTTGATCTGTTAAACAAATGCACATTGTTTTTTTGGACCAAACATACATCTTTAAAATGTTAAAATATTTAATAGTTTGATATTCATCGTGCCAGAACCATAATTGCCTGCACCTTGCATGGATAATTTATGAATAGCCACTTCGCTCCAAGAATAACGAAAACATTCTCCGTGTATATCAGGTGAAGCATTCAACAAAGGCAAGTAGAAGCCAATGTTTGTTACCCATTGGAAATCTTAAAAATTATATTACCTATCATTCAATGGAAATAGAGCAGCAGGTTAAATTGTGCAAGAGCAGCAGAAAAAAGCCCTATCCATTCTGCTTCACTTCTCTGCAAAATGGGGCAGCTTTTGTTGTTACTACTACTTTAACCAGCGAGATAAAAAAACTAGCTCAGGCTTTCAAGGCATAGGAATTGCAGACTGACATATGAATCTTTCATTAGTGCTAATTTAATGCCACCGACCTTTAGAGTATACACACTTGCCTCCGTGACTTGTCAATCTCTTCTTCTTGCATCACACCCATACCTCTATACTTTATATTGCTCCCTTAACAATTGCATTCTCTTGATAGAAATATCTCCTCTAACATCCTGCATGACAAAAAATGCCTCCCCTATTTATTTTTGTCTCTGTTTCCACGTTGTTCCGGTGTTTGATTTTTATCGGCTATTTTCCTTTGGCACGTGCGTAACTCGACCTTTCTGGCACGTTTCCTTTCTCTCTCATTACCATTTCTTTTATCCCTTCTATCTGCACTCTCAAACCTGCAAACGCTCTCAATCTTTTCCGTGATGCCATCCCTCCCCACTGCTTTCTCATCCCTCCCACCTTGCAGGATAATCTTCCTTTCCTGCATGAACATACTTGCATCGCCTCCCCTGTACACTCAACCCTGCCCCTTCCTTCTCTCGTGCTGTCCCTCACTTATCCGCTTATCTCTAAACTCTCTTTTGCGCCTCCGATTAGCTGCATACGCTGCAAAATAAGTTCAAGATACAAGCATACAACCCCATATTGATCACATATCGATGAAAAAAATAGGGTTTTTTTATGTAGAAACAAACATTGTTATCCCATTCGATTACGCCTGCAAACTGCTGAAGCTACCATTCTACCACTGTTTGACTCCGGTGATGCCGCTTACAGATCAGCCACTAACGAAACCCTCCGCCGCTCACCGCATCCCATCATTTACCCGCAATTTACTGTGACCGCGTTCCCTGTCCTCGTTTCGCTAGGGTGGCGACTGTGGAGAGGGCACGCGGGAGAGGAACCTCACGTGCCTGGTTCACAACGGCACGGAGCAGCATGCAGGCGTCGGGAACGCGGTGGAGGAGGAGCTCTGTGCTGAGGCGGAGCCTGTGCTGGGTACCGATGAGCAGCCAGGGTTGCGAGTGCCCTGCAGCGTCCCCTGTCCAGGTTGGTTAGAATTATTTCCTCCAAACATATGAGTTGAATGGAAAGATGCCTTGCGCAAAAATAAAAAAAATAGTTTGTCTGTGCGTTAGATCCAGAGGAATCTTTGTTCTGCGAGGCTTTATACTTCGTGGGGGTGGGGGGGAGGTTTGGCCTAGTTTTGTTTTAATTAGAAACTTATGGTTCGTTTTAAGATTTTGGCCATTTTAAAGTCATACCTCTGGTTCAAGTATAACCGTGCGCAAAATGTGTTTTGAAGCATTAGTGTTATGATTTATTATAATGGCGATAAAACAATGGTGTACTTTAACTTTAAAAATAAAAAAAATCATCTCCTTGCAAAAATAATTTCCCTTTGCCAAATGCGATAGAAAGTCACCAGCTAATATGCAAAAAGAAAATGCACGTAACTTTAAAACATACATTTTTATTTCTCCCTAAACTGTCCTTGTTGATCCTGTTTTTTGTTAAATATATACTTGCTGGGTAATTACAAACCTCATTAGGAGATGCACATGATGTCTTATGATTGTGCATGGTCAGGTGTCATGCACCATTTGAAGTTGTGGTCACTGACCCTGTACCTCGACTTGTGTCAGAGCCATTGATTTTTAATATTTCATTTCAAGTTAATTAGCTCTGAGTAGATATGCAACATAACCTCGGAAAATATGTCGAGGAAAACATGTCCGTGGCTATCCATTCTACCACCCGAACTGACCTTGTTCCTGCTAAACAGTCTGCACGTCAAATGCTAGTAAACACAATGCAATTAATCATGATTTATTGGCCACATCACCATGTAATTTCAATTAGACTCTGAATTTTTTATTTAGTTATAGTGTAGGAGTAGTTTGAATGGGCGTGGTTATTGTAATTTGTGCAATATGTACAGTGAAGGAAAAAAAGTATTTGATCCGCTGCTGATTTTATACGTTTGCCCACTGACAAAGAAATGATCAGTCTATAATATTAATGATAGGTTTATTTGAACAGTGAGAGACAGAATAACAACAACAAAATCCAGAAAAACGCATGTCAGAAATGTTATAAATTGATTTGCATTTTAATGAGGGAAATAAGTATTTGACCCCTCTGCAAAACATGACTTAGTACTTGGTGGAAAAACCCTTTTTGGCAATCACAGAGGTCAGACGTTTTTTGTAGTTGGCCACCAGGTTTGCACACATCTCAGGAGGGATTTTGTCCCACTCCTCTTTGCAGATCTTCTCCAAGTCATTAAGGTTTCGAGGCTGACGTTTGGCAACTCGAACCTTCAGCTCTCTCCACAGATTTTCTATGGGATTAAGGTCTGGAGACTGGCTAGGCCACTCCAGGACCTTAATGTGCTTCTTCTTGAGCCACTCCTTTGTTGCCTTGTCTGTGTGTTTTGGGTCATTGTCATGCTGGAATACCCATCCACGACCCATTTTCAATGCCCTGGCTGAGGGAAGGAGGTTTTCACCCAAGATTTGACGGTACATGGCCCCGTCCATCGTCCCTTTGATGCGGTGAAGTTGACCTGTCCCCTTAGCAGGAAAACACCCCCAAAACATAATGTTTCCACCTCCATGTTTGACGGTGGGGATGGTGTTCTTGGGGTCATAGGCAGCATTCCTCCTCCTCCAAACACGGCGAGTTGAATTTTGATTTAAAGCTTTCGTGACTGCAGTAATTCATATTCTTAGCTCTTTCGGTAAAGTCACGTTGAAGGGAAACAAGAAAATAATAAAATATATATAAAACAATAAAAAAAAATTCTCACGACGTTTCGACCATAACACAAACGGACACCTGATGACGACCGTTTGTGTTATGGTCGAAACGTCGTGAGAATTTTTTATTGTTTTATATATATTTTATTATTTGATTGTTTCTCTTCAACGTGACTTTACCGAAAGAGCTAAGAATACGGAGAGTTGAGTTGATGCCAAAGAGCTCCATTTTAGTCTCATCTGACCACAACACTTTCACCCAGTTGTCCTCCGAATCATTCGGATGTTCATTGGCAACTTCAGACGGGCATGTATATGTGCTTTCTTGAGCAGGGGGACCTTGCGGGCGCTGCAGGATTTCAATATTTCACGGCGTAGTGTGTTACTAATTGTTTTCTTGGTGACTATGGTCCCAGCTGCCTTGAGATCACTGACAAGATCCTCCCGTGTAGTTCTGGGCTGATTCCTCACCGTTCTCATGATCATTGCAACACCACGAGGTGAGATCTTGCATGGAGCCCCAGGCCGAGGGAGATTGACAGTTCTTTTGTGTTTCTTCCATTTGTGAATAATCGCACCAACTGTTGTCACCTTCTCACCAAGCTGCTTGGCAATGGTCTTGTAGCCCATTCCAGCCTTGTGTAGGTCTACAATCTTGTCCCTGACATCCTTGGAGAGCTCTTTGATCTTGGCCATGGTGGAGAGTTTGGAATCTGATTGATTGCTTCTGTGGACAGGTGTTTTTTATGCAGGTAACAAGCTGAGATTAGGAGCACTCCCTTTTAGAGTATGCTCCTAATCTCAGCTCGTTACCTGTATAAAAGACACCTGGTAGCCAGAAATATTTCTGATTGAGAGGGGGTCAAATACTTATTTCCCTCATTAAAATGCAAATCAATTTATAACATTTTTGACATGCGTTTTTCTGAATTTTGTTGTTGTTATTCTGTCTGTCACTGTTCAAATAAACCTACCATTAAAATTATAGACTGATCATTTCTTTGTCAGTGGGCAAACGTACAAAATCAGCAGGGGATCAAATACTTTTTTCCCTCACTGTATGCTACATTCGATTTTTTTTATTAATCAGCAACTATTAATTGACTGACTAATTGCCTTCTGCACCGTAAAACTTCTCAAGTTTGCACGTAAATATGAAATACGTTTTACATAGTCTGTCGACAAATAGTGGCCTTCTGATATTTATTGCATGCACAATTAGATTTTTATTTATTAACAAGCTCATATAACATTCCTTAATATGTAAAACACATTGGAAGCAATGGCACGTATAGCAATTCTGCACAGTTTTATAGCACTTCATAGGATTTTACTGCATATAAAACTACTGTAGAGTATGTTATGTTTTACATTGTTTTACATGAACATTTAAGCCATCATCTAGCAGTGGATTGATTGTGGCTGATGACGATGAAAATATTGTGCATAACTACAACATAATGAAACATCGGCAGTGTTGCCACGGTTGGGGGGGACGCAAAACAAACAAAAACATTTCAGGGAGGTGCAGAGGCGATGGCATGAATACCAATCGAGAGCCAATTTCGATCGCAATATGAAAAACAATTCACTCAGAGGCACGGACATATAAGGGTGCGTTCGACGGGAAGGGTAGCTCTGCCGTGGTGCCGCGAGACAGAGGTTGGCTCTTGTTGAACGGTCCGTTTTGGAGAGGGCACCTTTTTTTTAAAAAAAAAACCGGCGCCGACAAAATTGCACTGGCTCGCTGAAGCATTCTGGTTGGTGTGTCACGTTGTTTCGAGACGGCAGACATTCGCTGAAAAGCAGATGGTGAAACATGCCTGACACGTCCAGCAAACGCTCAGAGAGGCAGCGCCTCAGACCATCAAGCTCCTGTTGCGATGCGCTCTTGGCTAACAGGTCGTTTTGGAGCGCTCTGTGTGTGTGTATTGTGGCCTTAAGTTACCTGGGGGCAATAAGGGGATGTGGGTTCTGGGGTAGGGGCTGAGAGAACTGACGAGGAGTGAGGGAAGTGGGGGGGGTGGTGAGAGAGATGTGGGACCAGTGGTACGTTTATAGGAGCGGTAGTGCAGCAGATAGCACGCTGCACTACGAACTTGGTTCAATTCCTGCTCACGGCCAACACCAGTGACGATTATCTGAACCGGTCCTGGGCCTCCCCTAGGTTGACTCAGCCTAAAATGAGTACCTAGTGCGATGTGTGAACATTGAAACTCGGGAGAAAAAGGCGGTTTAACAGCACTTTCCCCAACAGTCTGTTACGGTTATATGGGGATCTTTGTCTTTGATGTATGTATGAAATGTATGTGAAACTTCTTTTGCACTGTACATTGCCAACCATGCTAATCGGAGGTGTGGGGGAAGGACAACAAACTAATTATAAAAAGCAGCTCTAACTCAAGTAGTTGAGTGATCTTGATTGGGAGAGGTCATACTGCTTATCCAACATTACTTCATGTTAGGTAGTTATGTTTTTAGATGAATAGCAAACACAACCATCATTTTTTTAATTGTGTATTCGTAGAGTTATACAAAAATAATCGATTCTAATTTCCTCAAGTTAGCTGCTGAAAGCTGACCATTGGTTCCATTGTCACATTCTCATTCATATTGCATGTTATGGATGATCTCATTGTAAATGAAAATACATCAGTGGATGTGTTAATGAAACAATATAAATATTTTCACATGCGATGTGTTATTTGCAACGTTTAAATTCATATGTACAATACAATATAGATGATAAATTTGACCACATTTCAGGAAACATTAAAAATATTAGTTATGTAATAAATATTCTTGATTTTGTAAATACCCTATCATGCCGAAATCTAACGCATTGTACAAGAACAATCTAAACTCCCAATTCTGAATACATTTTAAACTAAACACAATAAAAGTTGATCATAATACTATAAATAAAGTTAAGAACTATGATGAAGGTCAATAATAACATTGCAGCAAAAGCCACTGAATGCAACTTTTTCAAATTAAATGTAAAATTGTAGACAGTCACAATTCCTGATGTGAGGGGTGGATAGCAGAGTTCCTCCGCTGTCTTGGAGCATAACAGCAGAACGCGCGGTCACCTAGCATTCGCCTCTTTAACGTTGATATGGTGAGTATCCCCGAGTCTAGAGAGTGCAATTTGCGAGGGGAGGTACAGCGTGAGTGCAGTTCACAGAGGTAAACAGGTGCTAGACCGAGGCAATCGGTCACAGGCAGAAGAATACACATCTTGAGCTTGTACTTGAACAGGGCTTCAGGGAGTGGAGAGCACAACACGGCTGAGAAGGAGTGTTCCAGATTATATGGGCAAAGGTTGACCTGGATCTTGGAAAAGAAAGACGAATTGTTGTGCGGACTGTTTGTGGAAGAGAATAAAGTGAGATTACGGGGAGAGGTCAGGTAGAGCCGAGTCCATGGAGCATCTTGAACTTGCTGATTGCAATTATTAAATTAATTTGGGATGGATAGGGTGTAAGTGGAGAAAGTATTAGGGTGATGTCCATTTATGTATACCGGTGAGAAGTTTAGCAGTGGCATTTTGGATAATTTCGAGTTTGTGGATGAGGGATTTGGGGATGCTGGAGAGGAGAGAGTTTCTAAAAACTAAACTATAATTTGGCCAAAAATGATAGGTCAACGAAGTAGCTTATCATGTGGAAATTTATAGCAACCAAATATTCTAAACGCATGTTGATTCTAAATGTGGAGGTAAAAACTGGACCTGCAGAAAAATCCACGCAACCATGGGGAGAACGAGCAAACTGAAAATATACAGGGGTCAGGGTCAGAATCGAACCCACGACCTTCTGTATACCAGGCGATGGAGTTAACACCCTTACTCACCATAGTTGAAGGCAGGGATGAGGGTCTTGGTGACAGCTGGGGTAAATAAACGGCAGATGTGGGAAATGTTTTGCAGATAGAGGCACAAGGTCCTGCAGGTTGAGAGACATGGGCTATACAATTAGGAATTTTTATTCCAATAACTACATAAATCAGCATATTTGGCAGATTGGAACCGAAAGTTATTTGAACTCTGTTGATAAAATAAATTATGTTTAGGAAAGACTTTGTATTTAGGTCTTTAATTTATCATTTCACATTGTTAATCCGACTTCAGGGAATTTCCTGGCATGATTGCAAAATGTTAATTATGAATAAGGCTTAAAAAAAGTTTTTTGTCCCAATCTTGTTAGGGGACATCAGTGAAAATTTATTCATGGGGCAAATTAAAACAACAATGAATAATTGGCTTATTTTCGCAAACTTTATTGTTTTTTTCCCCTTTTTAATATACTGCATGTGGAATTTTAAATGTATGCATAAAAATGCCTTATGTATTATTATTATTATTTAGTTGAATGCTAATGGACTATGCGTTAAATTATCGACAGTAATGCAGCCTGTGTTCTGGCCGAGTGGTACAGGGTAGTGTGCACATTTGCAAGTGTCTCTTTTCAAATGTGTGTCTATGTTGGCACACTTTATCGTCATTATGCTAATCAATATTGTTTCATTTTGCAGAACATGTCCCAATGAAACACATGGGAAAATGTAGTTAACAGTCCACAAATGGTTTCTTGGGAGGCTTTCTATAAATTATTAATGATAATGATGATATGTGTATGTGCATATATAAAACAAAAGTCTGTTATTTAATACATGTTTTCACGTGTTGTTTATTGTCAGTTTATTAAGAAGTGTCTATATTGTTGACTCAGGTCTAAAATGTATACCTTGTGCACGGAAAAATATCCGCACAGGAAGACAAAAGTGGCCATGCATGGTGCTGGATACATCAAACCCATGTGTGCCATTCCTGCCTTAATAGCTTCTTAAGAGTAGAACTCGCCTTAATATTTGTGAGCGTTGTCACTTTTTTGGAGATAATGGTTTAAATCTGTTGACACGTAAATTCTCAGCTGGGTATAAATGCCCCTTAATTGAACTGAAAGTATTCCACGGAGTCAAACATTCGACATGGCAATGCTCATTATTAATGATGGTGATTATTAAATGTTTGATAAATGTCCCCTTGACCTTCCATAGGTGACTGTCGTTTGAGTGACTGGTCAGAGTGGGGCCCATGCCAGTTGACATGCGAGGGAAGCGTGTCGCTGGGAGGGGTTGGAGTGCAAGCTCGGTCCCGAGCTGTCATCGCCCTGGATGGAGGCGATCAGGACTCTTGTCCTGACCAGCCGTGGGAGGCCCGCGACTGTGACGGTTCGATTTTATCTCACACACCCACGCAATAGCCAGCATTCACAACCAAGTTGTGTTTATGTCTCCATGGCACTTGTAAAATGATATATATACTCTGAAGCCATGTAAAGTGGCAAGTGCTTTCTGGCTGGAGGTCGTCGAAGAGACCCAGATGTTATGGAATAAATAACTTAGGTAACTGGCAAATACACTACACATACCCCCCAATGTGCCAACTTGCTGTGTTTTAGCCACCTGATGCTCTGCTCATTGTTGTGCACATTGCTTCTCTGTTTTCTTCAGTTCTTTCGGTAAAGTCACGTAGATATAAAAAAGAAAAGTGCATTAAATAAAAACTACGTTTCGATTACAACACAAGCAATCGTCATCAGGAGGGAAAAGGGGTAAGGCCACTGAAAGCAATTGTTTTTAAAGGTTTAAAAATGGGTGTGGCACAAGCGTCCTGGTGTCAGAACGAAGTGGACGGGGCATATGTGCCCTGGGTCAGAGAGCACCAAGGTGAAGCACGGAAGGTGACGAGGAAACATACAACAAGTTATAAAGTGTTTGATGACGTCCTTCCAATGATTGCCGCGTTTGTACCAATCCTCTCGATTGAAATTGTGTCTGTATATATGGATGGCTTCATGAACGAGTCTTTGTTGATAGCCAGTGGGCTTACACAGTCTTAGAGAAATCAATTTTGCGTGAGCCAACCACATTAAAATGATGATCAGCCACGGCTGCTTCTCTGCTTCCCGTTGTTTTTGGTGTGTGGTTGCTTCTGGATGCCTCGTGGCATCTTTCACACACACCCTCCACAGATGGCAATTTTTATGCCATATCCATGAAGCCTCTTTTATGCAGCCAACCCGAAGCTGCGTATGCATGTGGTGTTTGGGCATACAGGTTATATGACCAGGCCAGCGCAATTAGTGAGAAAACCCACCAATGTTTTTCCAATATCTAGAGCTCCTCACAGAATCTAACTTTTAAAAAACCCAGCTTGGATAAACTCAAAGGCAGTCTAAATGTTCCAAGCTGTTACAGTTGGTCATGTAAGGTGGTCCACACACATCTCAGCATACATGTGTATCGTATACATATCTACTTCTGTATTGTAAATCATTCATTAGTTTTGTACCAGTCTAAAGGATTGATCACTTTATAATACATATCATGTTGATACAAAAAAATAAGTTACTCCCTGTAGCCATTCCCACCTAATTTCAGTTGAATATCAAATATAGTTAATTTACATTTTCTGTATTTTTCACTCACAAATAGAGTAAAATATAGAGGTTCACCCTCAAGGCACTTGAACTTTTACAAGAGAGCTATTTTTGGGTTTCTGTTTAATAATGGCACAATGCACTCCATGGGGTCCTCATGTCTCTTAGGTACCTTCTTGGTCTTGTGTTGACATTCCATTACCTTGCTCTACAGAGGGAAGCTGCTACACTTATGAGTGGAAAACCAGCCCCTGGAAAGGAGCTCAGCGGCTGGTGTGGTGTGAGCGCTCCGACGGCATCCACGTTACAGGTACTGACAAGTCCGTTCCACAGCGGCGCAATCAGTGGGAGCCGTAAGCGACCGTAGGCTTTCACTGTCGTTTTTACTTTCACACAAAAAAAAGTATTACAACCGCTACATTTGCTGTACAAAAACACTGCCTATTCTGTCAACTCGAAGAGGTTGCTTTATTTATTCATATCGCCCTTAACAATGGAAGTTTCATACATCCCCCCCCCCCACCTCTATCTTCCCAGCAGCATAAATGGGTAAACCAGAGCTCGCGGATCAGCAGGTCACTCGTGGTGGGATAAACTGTGGGTGCACTCGGCTCTTCCAAGATGTCGGGCCAGTGTGGAAGAGAAGGCCAAATACCCTCGAATAGAGGCCCTTCCACCAGCAGTTGCATGAACAATCAATTGCAGGGCTGCACCCTTACCCTTTAATAATGGAAATACTAGATTTGAAGCTTTCGTGACTGCAGGAATCCATACTCTTTGGTTCTTTCGGTAAAGTCACGTAGGTAGAAAAATAAAATAAAAAACTAAAAAATAAAATATCACGACGTTTCGATCGCAACACAAGCGGTCGTCCTCAGGCGGACAAAATCATCCAGCAGTGGAACTGCTGAACCAGCGAGAGAGCTGTTACAACTTTACCGAAAGAACCAAAGAGAATGGAAATACATTCTGAAATTGATCTTTGAATAGCTGCAGTATTTCGCTCCATTAAAATGTGAATTACATTCCCATAAACACTTCCGTCGGGTATATTGTATGGAGTGGAGTCACATTGGTAGCGCAGAGCTGAGATTGATTCATAGCCATGGATCAGTGGCAAGTGATATCTAAACCAGCCCTGGCCTCCCCAACGTCACCAACCCAACCATACCATTGTGGGGAAGTATGGTCAAACAGCTCCCATTACTGGCACGACGACATGAGGTGTATATCCAGCAGGGGATCAACAAAGGCCTGTCATTTATTATTTAATTGGTTTATTACATGCAAATTAACAAGGAACATCTGTTCACATTACCAGCATATGTGAGCAGTTATTATATTATAGTCATGATATTGGTCTTTAAACGGTTGTAAATTATTTGGCATAGCCGTTACATTCCCAATCGTGTGTAATACTCATAACTGTACAAAAGTTTTTTGCCTTATATTCAAATTATGTCTAATTGTGTTTTTGTTGCAGGAGGATGCTCACCAATGACTCAGCCACAGTCAGTGCGAGTGTGTGAACCTCCTTGCCTCTTGCCAAACTCCTATTGTGCTCAGGTAGGGAATGATCACGGGTATTGGATACATAGTCTTCTTTAACCACGTGATATAACTGCCATATAGTAGTTCTCATTACAGTGCACATATTTGAGTATCTATTCCTGTCCTTTCCTAAGTGCTTAGGATCACTTCTTTTAACTCGACAGACACGTTTTCGTATATTCAATATTTGTATGTATCCAAATGCAGTAGTGGCTGATGATAATGATTATGGCCATGACATTCAACACCCTATAAAAGACCGAGAAAAACCCAAAATATATATTTTTTTGACGTGTTCATTTTGTTTGGGACTAGTTTACATTTGTAATGATTATTGTGAATCATTATAATTCAACTGAAACTGGATACTTAGGCCAGAGCCATACATGTGCAGTTTTTCATTTTTAAAAATGCCGCACTTTTGACTCGTAAAAATTCCATGCCAGTTGCCCACATGTTGCATGAGTTGCCAATGCATGAAATAACACAAAGGTAAACCTTTATCCTGACAATATTTAGTTCTCAAATCCTCATATTTTGTTAAAAAAGAAAACTAATAAAGGTGCAGCTCCTGGAATAACTTGCTTTTTCCCCACTGCTGGAAGAATGGCGTCCACGATGGGGAGCTCTATAGAACCCCTCTAGGGCGTATTTGGCCTACGCCTCCATATTGGCCAGACATCTTGGAAGAGGTGGGAGTACCCACATTTTATGCCACCAAACGCGGCCTTACTGCTTGACTAACTGTGGTGAATCCATACTCTTTGGTTCTTTCGGTAAAGTCACGTAGGTAGAAATAAAACAAAATAAATCACGACGTTTCAGCTGCTCACATCGTGGCTGTCGCGATTTTCACCTGCAGACGGGCGCTTGTGTTGCGTTCGAAACGTCGTGATTTATTTTGTTTTATTTCTACCTACGTGACTTTACCGAAAGAACCAAAGAGTATGGATTCCTGCAGTCACGAAAGCTTCAAGTCAAGATTGTGGTGTATCTATTTTTTACTGCTGGGGGATTTTAAGAAACGTATGCACTGCATCAACTGCCATGCCAGATCGGACTGTCAACCTCTGTATTGAGAATCCAGCGTAACTAACCATTAAACCGTTGCATCATCCCCCCACGCCTTTAAAGGGCAGGGTAAAAAAGACCTTCGTCAAGAATGCCCAATGTCCAAAGCGTCTTCCCCTCTTGTTTGTGCAGGGGGGCGTGTGCCGGTGTGAGGAGGGTTACCAAGAGGTGATGACTCCTCGGGGTCTCCTGGAGCACTGCAGCAAGTTGCAGCCCGGCCGGGACGGGGAGCCCCCGAATGAAGGGCAGCCGGCCACCCCGGACCACGGGCCTGGATGGGAAAACACCGATGACCCTGGGCCAAGTGAGGTGTTGCGTACGTGGACTCTGCAGCCTTATGGGCCAGGTAAACATCTTTGTTTTTATCATTCACCTTTGCAGTGCGTTGATTGATTGATGGCCAACAAGCGCTGCCATAGCACTGTTGAAAATGATACACTCCCGTGTGTAATTTTCAACAATGGTCCCGAGTCATTGTTGACAATAACTAATTGCTACGGCAGTGCTATTTTCGACAGTGGCTCAGGATTGCCAATACAAATTTGCACTGCCTCGTGCTCAATTCACCAGGGAAATACTCTGACGTGCATTTCACTCAGTGTGTGTGAACACTTAGAATGAGAGGAACGATGGCATCCAGACCAGGTTATGATATTATGATGGCAGCGGATATGTTTTGTCCAGGTGCTTGCACAGGTAACGCTACTTAATGAACGTTTACATTGCTGCTGGACTTTTTAATTTCAATATTTTTCCTTCCCAATTACATTACAATCGTTCTACCAGCCTCGTGTCATAAGACAAAAACATTTACATTCAGGACTCCCAATTAAAGAATGCATCATCACCCAACGTTTAAAAGTTGCCTGGGCAAGATGAGATCACACAGTGACTTTTGAGGACACACGAATTGACCGTTATCCACACGAAGCAGTATATATTGGCAATTGTTATCGAGGTGTTGCATCGCATGGCAGAGTTTACAATATGCCAAACCAAATTCATAATGCAATGTCTCTGTGTGAAGCAATTTGCAAATAAGTTGACATAGCAGCTCATTGCACTTGAGGGCAAGGTGTAATTACAATTCCAGTTCAGCACTCTAAAATGTATCAGTCTCCAGAAACACCAATCAATGTTGTTAAACTTGACCTGATTTATTGCATTTCCCACGACACCTATATTTCTTTTTTTTTAAATGCCATCGAGCAGTATAGATAACGTTTTCAAAATGGGAATTGCATCTAATTAGAATGTGATTAATTGATTAAATGATTTACAAAAATCTACAAATAACGACCAGAGGGGGGAACTTTTTACTGTTTCTGCAAAAAAGCCGGGCTGTTCTTTAATTATGCATCGTTTTTACCACGAGGCCATAATGACCCATTTTTGGCCTTTGAATGCTGCAGTTCTTATGCCCTCTCAACCACTACCTCCTTGGTGCAGCTCTTCATGTCTACCAGGCCTGTCAGCTGTAGACCATGAATTGATTTAAACGAGCCATAATGTACATTACCGACATCTTCAAACTGGCACACATGGCCGTCTGGGCTATACACTTTCAGGAAGGCATGGGGTGTGCATTCAACCATCTGTGGTATCCCATAATAGAGTTGAAATACAGTGGTGATGGGAACGAATAATGCCACTTAATCCATGTTCAGCTTATGGGGCTTCCCAAGGAGGGTGCTGTGTGTTATTTCTGGAATTCACAGGGGGGTTTGGAAACAAGACTATGCTCTGCTGCCCTCATACCCGTGGAGTTGGCTAATGACAGAAAGCTCTCCCACTTATTGTCTCCTTCACATTTTAATTCCTACAAATGGAAGTAGGGATTCACTTCACCAATTTGTTAAAATTTGTAATTGCAGAAGCTCCGTGGAACTTTTATGCGCTTGCTTCTGAAAATTTTGAAGAGTAAAAATTACTAATTTTGCACATCCTGCCTGCTCCCAAACATTCGAAAAAATGTGCTCGCAGCTTTTGAAACCTTATTATAACGTGCAATTATATCCTGCCCAGTATAAAATGTTGGTGTTCTTTGGAAAGTGGCATTATTTGTGCATGTACTATATTAATTACATTGATTATGACAACGTCTATAGAGCTGTAATATGGGAAGCCGCTACAAGGGCGCTGAAATACAAATTGGCCAATGTGTTGTAGAGAAAAGGGCAATTGAACAGGTTTTTTTCTAATCTCTCTGCATTGAACAGATTTTGAAATACGGTCCTTTTCTGACAGCTTTCCTCTTGAAGTATATTTATAGAGCATTTGAAAATTTCACTGCAGTTGATTTACTAACAAGCCTTAACATGCATCACATTACCTTCATATGATGTGCTGATATGCATAAGGTAATCTGTGTAGAAACATAACAATTCATTTTTGTGCTATATTCCAATTTTTCCCAAAATGGATCCTGATCATATATCTATTTTAAACAGCGCTTGGAATACAGTTGTTTAATTTTAAAATAATATTTGTTTATGAAAGTCTTTGTTCAATACGAGAAAAATTCTACAATGCCCCTGTGTGCTCAAATCATTAAGGTCACATCTACCACGCTACGTATATGCTAAATTGACAAAATGTCTTCCATTTAAGAGAGACACATTTTTAAAATGTACCCGTAAAGCTGAACTGCACACCGATGACCACAATGCAGACATTGCAGGTCATATTTTATTAAATGAAGCATAGTGATAGATTTTTTTATAGTGTTTTATGTATGTGTTTGTTTATTTTGTTTCTTGCATTATTTTAATGATGCACAACGATTGTAGATTAACACACCCCACATAAAAAAACGAGGCATGCAATGAATTGAATTGTCTGATTGACAAAGTACAGTAATTTATGATAGAAAAGATGTGGCCGAGTAAATTGTAGTAATTTATTACCGCAATAATTCAACTCCCAAGTTCTCTCTAGTGGATTAATCTCGACTAGCCTCTACAATACTGGCATTTCCATATACGATTGATTACTGATCAGTCGGTCTTCATAGAGCACGACGTATAGAGTGGAACATAGGTTTGGTGCATGTCATGGTCACTGGAGTGATTTTGTAATTATCCCACAGACTAAATCAACCTTAATGATTGCCCACGCGATTCTTTGCATGACACACGTTAACAAAAAGGCACGGCTCTTGCCGATGAACTAAAATGTATTGTGAATTTCCAACCGCTGTGCTTCCCAGATGGCAGGTTGAGGACCTGGGTGTACGGGGTTTCGGCAGCGGCTCTCGTGCTCCTGGTTTTCATTATTTCTATGACTTACCTCGCCTGGTGGGTGGTCCTCTTTTTCATTTCCAATTCTCAAAACATTTACACATGCACACACCTGCCATTGCATTGAGCATTACAGTAATATTACCTTCCATACTTTATATATATATATGCCCCATTTCGTATTCATGGATAGATCAGCTTTAACTAAAATGTTTACGTGCATCGTCATAGGGACATTGCTGCTTATACCGAGTTACTCATAGCCAAACTCAGACATATAGTGGTCAGAATTCAGCATGACGTTTTTTGTGTACAGTGCACGGTGCATTTTAATATAAAAATTTGCACATATGATGGATATAACGTTGTGATTCCCAGAAAAAATAAACACCTACCATTGGTAATGGAATTACATGTATAACCCCCAAGGCAGTAAATACTAGAATTATATTTTACACACTTATTTGGATGTATAATGATGTATTATGCTATGCCTCTTATGTATAAAATGCACTTTAAATAATATATATACAATTTCAAGGTCTCATACCATGGGGAAATTGCCTTGATTTTGATTGTTTTAAAGATGTGCGTAAGTTTATAGTTGTTGCACACACTGCTGCAAGGTGCAGCAAATTAATATTAAGTACGATTCATATCGATGGTGAGCATTTATAATTCATGTTGCAAACCGCCTTGTATGACACCCTTATTAATGCATTTGTGTTCCTCTGTTGATAGCAAAAGACCCAAACGACAAATGCGGCGTGTTCCAAAGAGGAAGCCTCTGCCCCTGGCATACGATGGGGATGCAGACCTTTAGCCATGGTGTCTTCAGGGACAGCAGATTGTAGTCGCTGGATAAAGATATACAATTAAGGGATTTGGCAGCTGAAAATTCTGCTGGGATGACTCGAAGTGAAGACCTCTGTCACCTGGCACAACAACTTTAAGGGCCTTCAACGGATCTCATTCTTCAGACGTCATGAAAAGAAACTGCTGATCCCGCGGCATCCTGCTGAAGTGGTGCGACAAGTGTGTGTTCTGTCTTTTCTTGTCAGTGGGATTATTTTTCCATCCTCTATTTTACTACAAACAAGAGAAAGGACAAAAGCCATGTGTAAAATTATGGTAAGCAGACCCCCAACGGGAAGAAGATTATTTGATATTATCAAAGAAGATGAAAAATACATGTGATTGAGATCTTTGCGAAGGCTGTCGTAACTCAAAATCCAGTTGTGTTTAAATCAGCATTAAATGGCTGAAGGCTGCATTCTTAGCTGTAGAAAAATCCATAAAATAAGTCGGAAAACCAATAACAGAATATGAGCTGCCACAAACCTTAATTATCTCTGCAGATTCTGCTTGTATTTTATAATGAGACTTTAAAGATGGACTCTTGTTTCCAGAACACTTGAAGCAGACATACTTTGTCAGGTTTGACTGCCTCATTTCCATTTAATTGCCCTTTTCACAGTTTCTGTTAATCCCTAGTGATATGCCAGCCTTGGATGAGCAGAAGGCCAGCTTTCCGATGTCAACTGATTAACTGCAAATGCAGGATAGTCTTAAATGTTCAACACAGAACTCAACCGAGGACTATTTAAAGACAATACAAAAAGATGAAATGGTCGGCTTATTGCACTACGTTAGTGCAGTCTTGGTTTGACAGTCACAAACGTCCTCTCGGAGCTCTTTACAATGCTGCCCATCTGCAGTGAGAGAGTGCACACAGGACTAAAACACACAATCTGGAAACACATCAAACTGTATGACGGTTAATGCTTCGTCTCATCATAGTCCTGTGCTGCACATTTATTCTGCTGGGCTCCATAGAAAAGGGTGTCGTTGTTGTCAATGTATTCTCTTGGCTGCCATGGATATATTGTTTCTGTGTCTCTGATGCATACATATTTGCCATTGTCGCAATGTGGAGGGTAGGGCATTGCCTTAAGAGCACCATATGACACTTGCATGTGTAGTGATGTACTCACACGGACACTCTTAGCTATTCTCCTGTGTCACTTTATTTTACCTCGCATCCAGCGTGGATGCTCCTCACTTACACTAACACACACACACCCCCTTGTTCCGAACTCCCTGCTGTACTCCGCTATCTCTCTCTATACTCCGCTAACTCTCTCCTGCTTCGCTCACACCTCCACCCTTGTCCCTGCCCCCAGCAGGGGATCAGCCAACACTGCTGAGGAGGGCGAGGTCCCAGGTGTCTTCTCCCCAACTCTTGTGTATTAATCCCTTGAGCACCAACCAATCACCTCCCTGTGTTGCTCCACACACTCCCTTATATCTCCCTCCTCATTAGGGGTCCTCACTTACCCCCAGTAAAGCTGGTGCCTCCAGCACGTGCTTTCTCTCTCTTATCGTCTCCATCTCCCGCTTCTCCGGCGTCTACCCCATGTTCCAACGCTCTGCACCTGCTCGTCGCCAGATGCACCCGCTCAATTAATGCTTCTCCCCCTAATTGCTGCCGCCTCTCTGGCGCCTGATCCACGTCTCCCCGCTTACACCTGCCACGACCTCAGTTGCACCCTCTCTTCGCTAACCTCGTGTTACACATCACCACCCCCCACCCCATGAGGAAAAAAACCCAGCCATCCCGGCTGACCTCATATACAACTCCAGTAACGCGCGAACCCGTGACACAGGTAACAACAAGAACCATGAGAAGAAGAGAAAAAAGAGTACAACAATAATAACAGTTCTTGGGAGTGTAAAAGTGCAGTCTGTTCCGCCAAGGATAGAACGGCGCAGCGGTCTGTGGCGCCGTCCATCCCACGTTCCTCAACCGAACGAAATTCTCCGGAAGCGGGTTCCAGCGGCCGGCCCGTCCCCGCGAACTGGGTCCAGCACGTCTGAAGGAGGAGAAGGGCTAGAACTGGACGAGGAGCGATGTCCCTTCCATGGCGAACGGTGTACTGATGGAGGGTCACATGGGAATGCAACTGTCATAACTCTCGGGTTAAACGTAACTCTCCAGGTCCAGGTTCAGTAGCGTCAGTGGCTGCGCTGTCATTCCCTTAGATCTCTTGCGTTTCACTCGATGCGAGTCCACAGAGTTGTCAGTTTCGAGTTACCCTGCACTCTGGTTGAACTCCGAGTCCAGGTTCAGCGGGCACCACCACCAGCAGCCAGAGGTGGTCGGATACGCACCACCACGTGCACACGGCTACTGGCACTGCCACCACTACCACCAGCGCCATTTCCACCAACACTACCACCATTCACCGCTACACATGACCCATCAACCTGCTCCAGAGGCCGAGGTGATGCCGGAAATGAATGGAAAATAGGTAACAAAATCAAGGTGGCCGAGGCACCTGTGTCGAACAACACCCAGACCTGCACTCCCTGGATAAGGCCCATTACATCCGACGATCCCGCCGCGGCACCGACCACTAGATAGGCCAATGCACACCACTGCTCATTGTCCCACAGTCCCGCAGCCAACGACCCAACACGGCGAGCTTCCGATGTGACGGCATGAATAGTAACAGGGTGAACGGACGCGAGGTGCGATGTGGATGAGTGATGGGAGGAAAACGGCCGTGTGTATGGTGCGTCGTGACTCGCCTGTGTGCGTTGGGAAGAGGAGGTGCTAATGCTAGAGATTGAAGGGGGCCTGGGCAAACTACCGAAGCACAGACGGCAATTCCTGGCGATGTGTCCTGTCCGGCCGCAGTTGAAGCATGCCCGCGAAGAGGGCGTAGTCGGTGGGGCACTCCCTGGTGTCCACTCGATCGGCAACCGGCTTCCTCGCCATTCTCCTCGTCATTGACCTTGGGTTCAGGATGCATACGCTGAACTGCCATCACTGGACTCCAAGTCCCTTTTTTCGTCAGTGCACACCATCGCTGCAGGCCATCCTCTGAGGCTCAGATGAGCTTGTATATTTCGAGCGACTTGGAGGGACGTGAGGTCTTCATTGTCGGCGATGGCAAGGACAATGCCCAGCTCCCTCGCCAGCGCCAAGAGCCGCTCCAGGGCGAGCGAGTCAAGGGCAGCTCGATCCATGGAGGGTCGGCCACTTGTCCGAGAGAGCGCTGCGGAACACCAGAGACGTTTCCGTGTCCGCCTGTTTCCGGAGCAGGAATTTTGTACGGATATTTGATGGTGGGTCAAAGATTGCTGCCATCGCGGAGCAGCCGTCGGTGAATGAAGAACGATCAGCCTCAGGGATGGAGTAGAATGTGGCCAAAGAATCATCATCCAGGGCCGTCAGCAAGGCCGGTAGCGCCTCGACTGCAGACCAGTCCACCAAACAATATGCCGCCTCGAAGCGACGGCGGAACGCCATCCAATCACCCCCAGCCGCGGAGAAAGTGCTGACCGGAGGCAACCGGCGCATCGGAGAAGGCCGCACAGTAGGCGAAGCAGCCATAGAATCTGGCACGGCCGCTGAAATGGTGGGAGCCACTTCTGCCCGTGGAATGGCGGGAAGAGTCGGCGCATCCACCAGCGCCGCCGCCAAAGTCGTCGCCTGAGTTTCCGTCAGCTTGTCGAACAGGTAGTAACCGCTGACAGCATCCTCTCCATGTAGGCAGCGACGTCCCACCAACCAAAACTTGGTTCGAAGCTTTCGTGACTGCAGGAATTAATCTTTGGTTCTTTCGGTAAAGTCACGTATAAATAAGAAATAATAAAGTAACATAATAGCGTACGACGTTTCGGTTGCAACACAAGCAGCCATCATCAGGTACAGAAGAGCTAAATTTACGAGAGAGGGAAAACACATAACCCCAGATGTATACACAGACACCCAAGTAGGGGGAACTAACACAGATACAACAGGGGACACAGAGAGAGAAGCATACCAAACAGACAGGGTTTAGCAGAATTTGGAAACCATATAAAGCAACACAGACGGTCGGTCAAAACACAATTAACGCATAGCCTGGTTGATTACGCTATTTCAAAGATTGCTAAATTGCAAGTTAAGTATGAAATTTAAGATACAGACGGCACACACACACATAGACTTGAATGTCTATGTGTGTGTACCTTGAATGTCTATGTGTGTGTGCCATCTGTATCTTAAATTTCATACTTAACTTGCAATTTAGCAAGTTAAGTATGAATGTCTATGTGTGTGTGCCGTCTGTATCTTAAATTTCATACTTTACTTGCAATTTAGCAATCTTTGAAATAGCGTAATCAACCGGACTATACGTTAATTGGGTTTTGACCGACCGTCTGTGTTGCTTTATATGGTTTCCAAATTCTGCTAAACCCTGTCTGTTTGGTATGCTTCTCTCTCTGTGTCCCCTGTTGTGTCTGTTAGTTCCCCCTACTTAGGTGTCTGTATATACATCTGGGGTTATGTGTTTCCCCTCTCTCGTAAATTTAGCTCTTCTGTACGTGATGATGGCTGCTTGTGTTGCAACCGAAACGTTGTACGCTATTGTGTTATTTTATTATTTCTTATTTATACGTGACTTTACCGAAAGAACCAAAGATTAGTCCCACCAACCCTTCGTTGGCGGACGGACCGGGCTTGCCCCTCGCTCTCCCTCTTGCGCCGGTGGCAGCAGGTTCTCCGGGTCCATCAGCTGATCCGCAGTTTCGGCGGCCGTGGCAGGAACGATGTCTCTGTCATTTTCGTCATCGGAGAAGTCGATGCGTAGGTTTATTTTCTTAGCCGCTTTCTTTGATATGAAGGCGACGTAGGTTCTTGACAACTTCCGACATCAAATGTAGTAATGTACTCACACGGATACTCCTAGCTTTTCTCCTGTGTCACTTTATTTTACCTCGCATCCAGTGTGGATGCTCCTCACTTATACTAACACACACACACACACCCTTGTTACGAACTCCCCGCTATACTCCGCTATCTCTCTCACTCTATACTCCGCTAACTCTCTCACTCAATACTCCGCTAACCTCTCACTCTATACTCCGCTAACTCTCTCACTCAATACTCCGCTAACCTCTCACTCAATACTCCGCTAACTCTCTCCTGCTTCCCTCGCACCTCCACTCTCGTCCCTGCCCCCAGCAGGGGATCAGCCAACACTGCTGGGGAGGATGAGGTGAGGAGGGCGAAGTCCCAGGCGTCTTCTCCCCCGACTCTTGTGTCTTCATCCCTTGAGCACCAACCAACCAACCAACTCCCCGTGTAGCTCCGCACACTCCCTTATATCTCCCTTTTCATTAGGGGTCCTCATCCCCAATTAAGCTGGCGACTCTCCGGCGCTTCAAGCACGTCCTCTTATTGTCTCCATCTTCCGCCTCTCCGGCGTCTTCCCCGTGTTCCAACGCTTTCACCTGCTCGTCCCCAATTGCACCCGCTCAATCGCTGCTTCTCCCCCTAATTGCTGCCGCCTCTCCGGCGCCTGATCCACGTCTCCCCGCTGACACCTGCACGACTTCAGTTGTACCCTCTCTTCGCTAACCCCGCGCGTTACGCCACTACACATGTAATGCACAAGACCTTTTTAGTGTGGTCGTAATTACTGCTTACATTTTGTCAACTGTTGTATATTTCGGGTACCGCTCAATGTTTTGCATTCTGATCTTGGTTGCTGAGCAGTGCAAGATTCAAATATATATATTGCTAAAACCATATTTTTTTTTAATCTGAAACTGACATTTCAATGTTGTAACTATTAAGGAGAATTAAAGTTAATAAATTATTCATTTTTATTTAGCCTTCTATTGCAACGTTACGGACAATAAAAAAAAACAAGAATACTGTACTGTATTCACCACGTTTGGCAGTTCATAAAAATGTAAACCACACAAACGTTGAATGTTGTTACTCTGGAGATGAATATAACATGAGATTATTGGTAATGCATTGATTGAATTTATATCTTTATTACCATCCATGGTCTCATGTTCTGTACCATATAAATATCTAAATTCTGTTCATATATTTTTTATCATGTTTAATTTATATGTGCTGTTTGTTTAAATGTGTGAATAATTGTTCCAATCTTAAATATTGTTATTTTTATGTATTTTAACATTTGTGCAATACATTTATTTTCATATATACAAAGGGAACAGTTTATGTTTTGTATTTATTTAGTTTTGAAAGGGACTTTATTGGTGTATTTTTAAGACATGGCTATGGTATAAAGTAAATCATTGACTTCTCATTTATATATGTTCAGCTATGTACTGTGAATACTTTAACTGTGTTATGAATGACGTGTTAACTTAGGTAATGTTTAAAAATAACAATTGTCCAAATGGCTAATGTTTTAAGTAAAAGCTTTTTTTCCCAATAAAAGTGTGTGATGTATATTTTACATTTTTACGGACTGATGGAAATTTCCATTTGCTGTAATTTGTTTCAATTAAGAGGAAACTAATGGGCTGTACAGGTGGAGTAGGCACTCGGAGACAATTATGCTCAATTATTCAGTGCCTAAACTAATCAAGTATGCTGCAAAAGATACTGGACAATGCATATCAATGGGAACTTATTTTATTCGAGTATGGACATGATTGGTCATCTTGCACATTACTGCCTATATAAAATCTCTACAGCATTCAAACGAATAAACCATAGTTTCCAGACACTTTATGTACAATTGCACCTGACAATAAGATAGCAGGTGAAGCAAAACTAACTGGGTATTTTATGTGACTGAGAGGAAAGGAAGATAAAACCACGGCGGCAAGATGTTATCTCCCTCACCTGGTATACAGGAGGTCGTGGGTTTCGTCCCAACCCTGACACCTGTATATTTGGAGTTTGCATGTTCTCCCCCGTGATCACGTGGATTTTAATCCGTGTCTTCTGGTTTTTCTCTCAACATTTGAAAGACGTGTTTATTTCAAACTTGATTTTTTTTGGCTGCTATACGTTTCCACGTGATAAGCCACTTTGTTGAGCTATCATTTGTGGCCAGGTCGCTTCTAAATAAGAGCTAATTCCTCAGTGGGCTTTACCATGTAAGTAAAGTAGATAGTTAAGATGCCAACATTTTGTCCAATTCGCCTTTTTTCACTTCCAAAAGGGCAGCTATTGAATAAAGAGAATACCAGTCACCCAGATGTTGATCTCTCAGAGGCAGGTTTATTTAAACTGTTATTTTATATATTTGTTCAGTGCAAAATCAACTTCACCAATATACCAACACAAACTGATGAAAAAAATGTTGAATACTTTTCACTTAACACCACATTTTTACAATTGAGGCAACCCAAGCAACGCAAAGTTCTGTTCAGAAACTGCATTACAGAATTTTTCTGATTACATTTGCAGTTATTGTCAAGTGAACCTTACCATGTGCAAGAGCACCCACTGGATTAAATTCTATTATGTTTTACTAGTAAGATGGTCAGCTATCTTCATTGAGTTGTACATGATCTTAAAAGTATATACTCACTGTCCCCAATATTGAAGTTGTTTCATGTGCTTGTATTTTGCTGTCCAGATCATTACATTCACTTTACACAAACGCCCATCTAGATTGATTATACTATACATTTTTACGTTAATTTTTCCATGGTCAACCTCATCACAAAGATTCAATCTCAGTATGGCAGTCATGCTGACTCTACTGTATATTCTTGGAATATTGCATTAAGCTTTTAAGTCCCCTGGTCACCTTTATAAATGCCATTCGTTCAAAATCCATGTGCACTTTCAAATACAGTAATCCACACTCACGTTGCCTGTGCCATGTGTACATTATATTACGCAGTAGTTTGTGCGTTGAATGCATTCAGAATTGACGCCATTAGCAAGATAGACATTGATGCTTGATAATTATTATTCCGCTCTACCGCAAGTTAAAAACATTGGTCATGGATTGTGCTGCTTAAATCACCTCACAGCCCATATCTAGCATCTAGTAATTTAATATCAGTTCAGCCAATGAGCAAGTAGACATCCATAATACCATGGCCCATTGAGTAGGATATGGTGAGGGTCTTTTATTTAAGGATCTGTTTTTTTCGTATTTACCCTTGAAACAAATGAGTTTAGTCTAATGATTTAGGATGGAGCATTGTAATACGTAGCAAAAACGTTTAGATGGTTACTTTTTAGATGCAGCTTTGTACTCTGTATTGGGTGAGCTATGTGAGTGTTAATCGTCATCAAAATCTGTGGCCACAGTGGGTGCCCTGTGCCCGTGCGTAACCAATGAGTTATGCCACGCACTGGAGTGAATGAATAGCCTTTCACCAGTTTTTTGACTTGTGTTTGCTCAATAAAGTGGCAACAAATAGCATTTGTAGATATATAAAGAGGGACTCAGATTTATGATACAATTTGACAAACTGTCTTGTGGGAAAGGCTTTGTGTTTATTGGTGGTGGTGGACACCATTCATCGGTAGCTGGAGATCTCTTCCTCATTTCCCATTTAGGCCGCCAAAAATCTCTTGGGTTGCTCTTAAATGCTAAGAGCATTTCCACAATTCTTACACACGTGTCTATTTTAACTGAAGCCCAATGTGCTATTGGGCTTTTTAATGAGACGCAATCCTACGTTTGATGACCGTTCACGAAGCGTTGTTGAGCTTTGTCACACTGTGCAGGACGAATACCCCTTGCCTTTTTGCTGCTATTTAATACTGCAGCACCAAGCATCCGAGAACACTGCTGAATGGTTATACACTACGTTTGCATGGCAAGACCACGAAATGCACAAGATTAATTTAAACATCGTACGTACATGTTTATATACAGAGACCGTGAGCTCGGTGTATTGCACTGCCCGGGAGCTTGCTTGC